TCCTGCGCGTTGAGTCCAGAGCAAGAAGATGCAGCAAACCCTCCACCTGGCTGCTGACAGCCCGCAGCCCTCCCTGCGCTCCCTCGGCTGGGTCTGAACAAGCAGGCGCTTGTTTGCCTGTCCTCTCCTACCCAGCAGAGCTGGCTCGTGCGTTAACCCTCCCCTTCCATCCTCTTCCCTGGCGGGTGGGAGATCTTCAGAGAAGCAAAGTTGGGGTGCCTTGGACTTGCAACCCAAATTAACACACTACATAGGAAACTGGGAATAATAGTCATGCGTGAAACACAGGCAATGAGCTCAAATGCTGAGCTGGCGCTGCTGAAGGGCTTGATAGTCTACGACAACATATTTTGGGCAGGGGATTTAATAACAGCCTTTAACGAAGAGGGAGAGGCCGAGATCCGAGTTGCACACTCATAAAATTCAGACAGAGGGATCATTAACTTTATTTTTAGGCTTGGCTGAATAATCGGGAGGTTTGAAGATTTGCCTCCTCCGTTTCTCTTGTTTTAGCAGGGGCTGTGCTGGCACAGCTGGGATCAAAAGCACATGGGATTACCAGAAGCAGCACCTCTCTGTTGCTTCCAGGGACGTACTTCTGGAACCAGAGCATTTCCACAGCTCAGGGCAGCTGCACATCATATTGCCTGCGATGGCCATGCACCTCCAGGTGGGAGAATGCAGCTGCAGAAGAGCCCAGACCTTCTTCCCAACTAACCCTCCTCTCCCTCCCTCCAGCACATGTTCCGGCGCTCTCCCCCGCGCTCCGGTTTGCAGCACGCTGGCTCTGGCCTTCCCACCCGAAGGGCTTTCCAGCAGCAGAAAGCTGCAGCTAGAAACCAAAGCGTGGGCCAATTTTGCCGAGGAATTCAGGATGCCGGCTGCAAGGAGCCGGCTGTGCCAACGAAGGCGGGCTGGCTCGGCCATCCCTGGGTACTGCGGGCGGTAAAGTTGCTGCAAATAAGGCCATCCCCTCTGCCCGCTCCCACAGGGAGTTAGCTGGTGCCATGCAGAGATGGCCTTATTCGCCTTTACGATCGGATGTTTGAAAGGCGGTTGGGTGGAGGAGCGGGGAAGCTAACATCAATTAAAGTGAGATTTGGTCCGGGGATTTCCCCCCTTCTCCTTTCACTTCCCTCCAGCTGCCAAAGGGGTGGAGAGAGCCGGGACGCTTGCTCTTGCAGGAGGAAAATTCCCCCCCTCGCTGAGGTTAATGAACCCGCCTGACGCGGTGGTGGCCGTGCCCGGCTGGGGAGACGGGCTGCCGGTATTACGTGTTATGCTGCATGTATATCCGTCAGCCGCCAGGCTCTGGCGAGAGGCCCCGGCTGGAATTAACCTGCAGTAACCCCGCAGCGCAGGGCAGCCTCGCTGGGGTGTGCCGCCCGGGCTGCGCTGGAGTATGAAAGCCATTATAATCCGCTCATTCACAGCGCTTAAAGAGCCAGTGGGTTTTTACACCCCCCCCCGCCCCGGTTCTTCTGGCAGGGAAAAGGTTTGGACATGGTAGCACATAGCGTTCTCCATCCCGATGGGGCATCGCATGCTTTACTGAGCCCGGCCCGCCATGTCATCAGTCCAACAAGTTTTAAAGTAACATTTTTATTATGAACAAATAAAATTTCAGATCAGCATAACCAGATGTCTGTTTCCATATTAGTAGAAATTATTTCAAAAAGGTTTTTATTTTTTCTTTTCCAGTACACAAAACAGAGAAACTACTATGCAGAAATCCCTAAGCTGTGAAAAATCATATCCTACTCACATTTCAACAGTGACAGAGCTTAGACAATGTGCAGATTCAACTTTCCAATCCTTCCCTGAACACCCAACACTTGGACATCTGCTCTTCACAATACCAGCGGGGCTGGGAACGGTTTTGGAAAAACAAACCAGTCCATGCTTCTGCCGGCAGCGGTGTGCGTGTGGTACGTACGCCTGCCTCCGCGGCGCTCGGCCGGTCGGCAGCGAGCCGCAGCACACCCCTGGGAGGCAGCGCTTAACCCCCTCTTACACATAGGGAAACTGAGGCACGGAGAGTTTTTAAGTGACTTTGTCCCAGATCATGCAGTGAGCCAGTAGCTGAGCCGGGAGCAGGTCCCAGGAGAACGGCTGCTCTAGCCACGAGGTCTCACTGCTGCCTTCTCTGCTTCCACCTCTCACAGACTCATTTAAGGTAAACATACAGACAACGCGTCCAAGATACAAACATGCCACCAAAAATATATATATATATTTATAGGTGTATATATATATATATCTCAAACAAAGTTCTACTTAAAGTGTTGTATCTGTTTCTTAATCTAACAAAAATTCTAACTCAAATACATTCAAAATCACCTGCACCCACAGTTCAATGTAGGTAATTAAATAATTAAGAAACCCCTCGAATGTTCATAATTCAGAAAAAAAAAAAAAAAGAAAAAAATACGGCAAATAGCTGTCAATACTCCTATGTATATTAAAGAAAGATTTAAGGCACCCAGAGATATTTGCCAATCTACCTTTAAAGTGACTGGGCAAACACCAGGACTGTTTGGTTACTGCTCCTCAGCTTCCACCGTAATTCCAGATTCTGGACCCAAATCAGCACTTGAAATTTGAAAGGAACCCTTGATGTCAAACCCTGCTTCTCTGCTGAGAGGATGTGAAATACTGCAGCGTGTCACGGCACGCTTCTCTACCATAGGGTATGTCACACAACACATTTAGGGCACCAGGAGCAAGGAGATCATTCTCCTCACCTTCTCCCCTCCCCACACCGCTTTCAAACTACTGGCTGGAGCAAATTCATCCTCTCTGGAGACTTCTACGAGTTCAGAGGGGTTTAGACTAGAGCAAAGTCAGCCTGCAATTACAAAGCTAACAGTGTTTCTTTTTTTGGAGGACTTTTTCTCCTTTTTTTTTTTTTTTTTCCTTTTTTTAAATGGTAGGATACAATCCCAGCCACAACCCCCTTCTCCCCAGCCAGCCCCCAGGCAGTCATGAGCCTTGGAGCAGCAAGGATGCCATCTCCCACACCAGGGAGCCGAAGGGTTCCCTGCTCCATTCCTCCCTGTTGTACCTCTCGGCTGTAGACCACATCGCTCCTGATGGCTCAAAACCTCCGAGGGTCCCATTGCTGGAGCAATAACAAGGCCATGGTGGTGGCAGGAAGGGGAAAGGGGAGGAGAAGGACTTCTTTTCTGAGTCACAAGCGTGCTCTTGTTAAGGAGAACATCGCAGAGCTGTCCTGGCTCCTGGTGAGTTGCGCAGCGGCAGGAGAAAGCAAAGCTGCAGAGCCTGGCTCCCGTGAAGCTTGCCTGGCTGCTACGTGGCGGAGCCGAGGCGAGGAAGTTGGCACCCACTCCGTCTCTGCCCTCCCTGGCCTGCCTCAGTACGGGAGACGCTGCACACCCCACTCCAGCATCACCTCGTTCCGGCCACCTCTTGTGCTTTCCTCCAGCTCCATTTGATGCATTTAAGAAACAAAAACAATACTATTGCTACAACTAATAATAATTAAAAAAAAAATAATAATAATAATGGGGAGAGTTAAGGCGGGGGGAGGGAGGGGAAAGCACGTTCAGCTCAGTGAGGGGCTCGAGGCCGTGACACCCAGAACCTGACCCAGAGCCTGAACTTGAGCTGCGGTCTCTGCGACTTGCAGGGAACGACACCCACGAGGACTTTTTTTCCCCAGTGCACCCTCCAGCTGCGTGCGCACATCGGCTCCCTGATGGAACTGACCTTTCCACTGGCTCAGCCGCCCTCGCTGTCTGCTGCGCCGGCCAAGGGATGAGGTGATGAGATGGTTCGCTGAGGGGCAAGCTAAGGGACTAACGAGGAGCTGCTTTCACCTCCCTTTCCCACTCCCTCAGAGGAGTGGGGAATGGCAAACTACCCCAGCGGACCCTGGGCAAGAAAGCCTGGAGGTGGCCCACACTGGTGGCAGCATCTCGCCTCTGAGGTCTCGACTCCCTCGAGCCCCCCAAGCCCCTCGGCCCCGTGTCGGTGTTTCTCAGGCACTTGTTAATCAACCAAGCGGAGTCCCCGAAGATGGAGGGACCTGCTCCTGCGCACACCCTCAGCCCTCCCTACGCCTGCAGACGCTCCCTTGCCCCATCCCTGCGCTCAGCACAGGATGCGGATCCGCAGGGCAGGCGCGGACACCAGGACATCTGCCTGCCACCCAGCGGGGACCCTGTTTCTCCAGCACATAAAGCAACTTAACTCAGCAGCGGAGCTTTGGTTTACATCCTTCTCCCCCCTCTACATTTTGGCAAAGTCCTGTTTGCTGGCAAAAATCTCAGCAGCAGCAGCGGCAGCGAGCAAAGCCACCCTGGGCTGGTGCCGCCCCATGGCAGCCAGTGGCACACCCCTCCATCTGTCCCCCTCCGTGCTGTGGCTCTCCAGGGGGGCCGTGGAGCCTGGGACCAGGCTCTGCCTTCAGTCCTGGTTGCATGGGGCACAGCAGGCAGTGCAGGGAGGGAGGCTGTGACACTAGAGGGAGGAGGTAATAAGGCCACCAAGGCTCCCCCTCCAGTGCCCACTGCTGCCACCAGACCCCCCCAGCCACCGGTGGACCTGGCTGGAGCTCTGAGAGAATCTGGGGGCTCTCCTCTCCCCAGCCAGAGAGGCTGTGTGGTGGGGCAGCTGGGGAGAACACTTCCCGAGAGACATCTTGGAAAGACACAACTCTCTTTCCGATGGCAAGGGAAGGCGACGGGGCTGTTTTTCCCAGGGAGAGCGGTTTAGCCACGCCACGTCTGTCAGCAGCCCTGGAGAAAGGAGGAAGGGGGAGAGGAAGGAATTTTGGGGGGAAGGTGGTGGGGACAGGGTCACTGGCTTTGGCTCAACTCTTCATCTGGCTGCTGGTACAGGCTTCCCTTAACCCCATGGTACGTAGCTGGCTGCTCCCTAACAGCTCCCGGGCTGCTTCCTACCAGCTCCTCTGCCAGGGAGAGACCGGGATGATGTAAAGCGGGGGACGGGGTAGAGGGGCTTGAGAGAAAGAATGGAAAGGAAAAGGAGAGGAGGAAAAGGGGTGGCCTTGCGTTATAAAAGCAGAGTCCTAGATCTTAAATACATCACGTAAAATACAGCGTGGGAGGGGGGGGTTAAAACTCATTATCATTATCTTAAGCAAACTGGTAGCATTATTCAGTAGTTAGTAAACAGAACGTTAAACCTTTGTCCAGCGTGTTTGGAGGGGTCAGGAAGGAAAAAAGGGAGAAAAAAGGAGGAAGGAGAGGTGCGGATGTGTGTGTGAAGGACAGCAGGAACTCAGCCACTCTTGTGACTCCCATCTCCAGTCCTCATTTTCCGAGCCAGGATGACCTCCTTGGAGACCTTCTTGCGATCGCTGGCCAGCCCCAGGAGGCACATGAGGTCGATGAAGGCTGTGGTTAAGTTGAAGCGCCAGCCAAACTCACTGGTGGAATAGTCGTAGGGGAAGGTGTGGTGGTAGTTGTGGAAGCCTTCTCCTGCAAAATACGACCAGGGAGAGGATGTTGCAGAGCTCTAGGTGACGGCCCCTTTATCTTGGCCCAAAGCACCACATTCCTGAAACAGGCTCTGGATTCAGTTCAAGCTCCTCTCAGCTCAGTTGCACCTCTCTACAATCTACCCCATCTCATTTGGGCATGGTCTGGCATGCCCAGGCTGGCCCAAATGAGGCAGTGGCATTCATAGGAGGACCTATGGTGCTTTAGAGGAAAACAAGTGTGTGGCGAGGAACTGAGAAAGGCCCTGGCTCACCAGCTGCACCAAAACACCAGGGGAATCCTAACAGCTTTTCCTCTGCCATCGTGAGAAGCCTTCTAGTATTGATTGAGCTACCAGCTAGACCTGCAGCAAGGCCCCAACAATCAATACTCCTACAACACCGGCAGTCCTAATCCAAAGGGCATTTCCAGATGGGAGTAAGGAAGACAGACTTCCTCTAAGCAATCTACCCCAGTCAGCCACCCTCTGCTCTGGACACTGTCAACGCTGCCTTCAGTGCTCACCCCTTCAATGACATCACCTGGACTCCTGCTCCTACCCTCCCAAGTCTCTGCAGCTCAAATCCCTCCCTACTAAAAATCCAGGAGCAGAAAATCCTTTAGAGGTGGAAATGAGTGCAGCCCCAGTGACGTGCAGCGATGCAATCCAGCTGAGGATTTGGGCTTGGGAGAACAGATCACGGCAAATGCTGACCCCTGGGATGTACTTTCCTAGGTCCCCAAAATTTCGGGAAAACACGAGATGATCTGGGCTTCTCTCATCCTCAAGTACCCCCAAAATCATCAGCTGTCCTGAAAACATGTCCAAACATGCATCTGCAGGTGTTCAAGTTGACAAATCTAGGACAGATAAGCAGAGACTGCAGCACAGGCTTTTCAATCTGGTGAACGGGGCAGAGAGACCTTCGAGCAGGGTAAATAAAATATTGCTATTGAGATAAGGAGGTGCTAAGTGTAGCAGAGTCCTTTCCAGCCTGCAGAGAGGCTGGTGGGAGCTGATAACCCCACTGCCCTTATGTACTCACTGGCCCGCCTGGGAAACACCCCCAGATGCAAAGGCTGGAGGGGGAAGGTGCAGGGGGAACTGGGGACACCCGGATTCACAGACATACCTAGAAGCAGCTGCAGCCCCCAGGGGCAGTCCCCGCTCTACATTCTACCCACAGCAAAAGACACGGGTGCTGAACGTACCTAGGGCCCCCAGGCTGACCAGAGGGTTCTCCCGTGGGTTGATGTGCTGATCGTACGGCCGGTTGCCAAACATGTGAGCAGCACTGTTCACTAGCCAAGTGGCATTGAGCCCTATGGTGTAGCGCAGGATGGCTGGAATGAAGAAGCTGATGACGATGGATTCATCCCAGAAGTACCAGGGCACTACAGTGGGCAGCGTGAAGCACAGCAACACCACCGAGGGTTTGTAGTATCTGGAAAGGAAGGGACCGGGAGGAAAGCGCTCAGTGGCAGAGGCAGGACAGGAAGGGACAGTTCAGTCCTCCCTTTGGAGGATTCACATTCAGCTACCCAGGGAAAATCAAGTGCAGAAATACCTCACCCCTGAGCCCTGCATCTTTTGCCCTGGATGCACAGAAGCCATAAGATAAGACTCCCGAGTCTTATCATCAGGCAGGAGACTCAAACTGAAGTCCAGCTCTCCCTGTCTCAATCTAACACCTGCACAAAGCAATGTCCCCATCGCCAGGAGTCCAGACACCAGCTGCTGCTTTTGGCATCACCTCCCATTTGCTTCTCAGCTATGTTGGTCCCTATCCCTCTGATGACCCACAAGAAAAATCCCAGGCACATAAAGGAGGGAAGCCATAAACCTTGCTTGGTTCGTTTGAGACTGAACTGGGGACTTCCTGAGTGAGGGTGGTTACTATATGGGTTCAGTCCCCCATCTCTGCAGCCCGGGTGACAATGACAGGCTTGCCTCCTCTGGGGGTTAGTCCCAGTACAGCTCCTGACAGCTGAGAAATACCCCATCCCAGAGGCACCAGTGAATCAAGACTGTCCTTCCCAGTTACTGCCTCTCTCATTTCCCCATTTTCAACTCCTTTTTCACCACACTGTTTCCAGGAGACTGATGGGAGATGGGCAGAGGCATGGCCTGGAAGGTGTACCACATCTGCAAGGGTGGCCTGGAGGCACCCATGGGTGGGCTCTGGGCCAGCCAAAGCAGCAGCTTGGCTGTTGGCAAGCAGATGTGAAGGTGCTTTGTGGTGGGAAGCACAGCCTGCCACTGGCAAGATGCTACAGCATAGGTGGGCAAGAAAGAGGGGCGGGGGGGCTGAAGGTATCACTAGCTCCTAAATACTTCCTATAGGAGAGGCACTGCTCACGTCTTACATGATGCCCTCAATCCCCTCTTGCTCCATCAAAGGCGCTTGGGTTCCCCAGCCCATTTGAGGGGTTCCGTGTTCCATCCCACAAGGCTCTGTACTGGGGCTGACCCCATCACTCACCTCCGCTGGAACATCACCACTTTGTCAGCCTTTATGTCGCTCAGATCTAGCTTCTGGCCCTTCTCTATGACGTCTGGGTGCTTGCGCACCAGCAGCCAGCCAATGTGGGAGAAGAAAAAGCCCCGCATGGCATTGTGTGGGTCCGCGTCTGTCTCGGAGAACTTGTGATGGACGCGGTGGTCCCGGACCCACTCGTAGATGTCATTCTGCAAGGCAAGAGGAGTGGAGACTTAGGCCCAGGGCTGGAGATGTTCCCTTCAAATCAACAAAAGGCCCTAAAACATTTAGACAGCTAAATCCCATTGACCTGAACTTGTACCAGTCATACTATCTTTCATTCAGGTTTGGGGTTTTGGGCTTTTAAAACAAAGGTTGGGTCTTTTTTGCTCAGCCACTTCAACTTTCTTTGAAATCTGCTTCTTTTGTGGGCTGCCTTTTTTTTTTTTAATTGGCTAAATTTAGGCTTTGGTTGGCACATCCTCTATAGCATCACAGGCTCCGACCGGTCAGCCTGTTCCCCCACCCCTGCAATAGCCAGCCCTCACTGGCCAGTCAGTGCCTCCTCCCTCACACGCTCAGCTCCTGTTGGGCACTTGTCCCCGCCCCTACACGGTGC